ACATATCACTGTATCATCTGATAGAAAAATGCGATAATCAGTTTGTTCGAAATTAATTAGAATTGAACTGGGCATTTTATTGATGTCGTCAGGATGTATATAAAGCTGACGACGAAAACTTCCTATGTGATTAAATTCATCATTAGCGAAACCTGCTTTCATAAATGTTATCGGTGAAACTATTTTAATTGATAAATTGTTGAATGCATTAGTAATTACGTCGTGCGGTATGACTGGTTGTACATTGGACACAATTATACGTTTGGCTTGGTTGATAAGACGGCGAAAGGCTATCTCCTTATTGTTTATAACAATGAACGGCTGCTTGGTGATAATCTGTTCTACGATATTTTTGTTTGCAAAATAGATACAAAATCGATTATTTGATATGCGTGAAGCAAATTTAATATTGTTTGGATCAGTAAGTTGACTAAATGCTCTTATGTATTCGATTTGGGGTAAGTCTTCGATGGTATTAAATATTACTGCTTGATCTTTTTTAGGAAATTGAACGTTGGCGGTTGTTTCTGCGAAAGTTTTTTGAGTATTGGATTTTTGAACTGAGGGTGTAGTGACATTGGAGGTTGAATTTAAGTTATCCATCGTGAGGAGATGGATGGGAGATGATGTTACTGATTCTAGGGGGGGCGAAATAAAGCAACATACCTTAGGCTTATCGATTGGAGCGTTCACGTAGGTATACTGCTATCGGAAGCTATAAATGCGATTAACGTAGACCGGGAACACACGTGTGTATCGGTCGGAGGTCGAACACGTACTGTATTGACAATATTATATTATACTATTTATACTATAATAATCAAATATAAATATATGTATATAATATAATATATAGTATATACATAAAGCTAATAGCTATTAATATCCACGAGCGACGAGCGTACAGCACGGCGTAAACCCGTATTGCTTAGTCATTAATAGCGATAATTACGTTATCTTGATTTTTGACGTGCCACTGGTAAGAGTATGGGCTACAAGACGTCTACAATGACAATAATATATTAAAAATAATGTTTAGGTACTGGCGGTATTGCACTCAATTTAAACTAAACTACAATACCCAATATAAATTAAAACTCAACAGCATAATATTTGTCACCATACACAATACAAATGTACATTGTATACCTTGTAATCAAATAATATCAATACAAATTACAAAACTAAAAAATTTAATAATTTTGAACAATATTTTGGTATCAAATTTAAGTGCGAATTGTGAGGCCCTACAAGCGCGAGGCCCTAGGCAAATGCCAGCACTGCCTACCCTTAACGACGGCCCTGAATTTTACAGAAACCTTTAAGTTCATATGAATGTAGAGAATATGATTGTACTCAAACATTTTCTAATTTATATAGTTTCAAAAGACACTGGTTCTTAGTAAAATCTTGTTAATTCTTTTATTTTAACGAGAATTTCATTTTGGAATTCAATATACTTTATCCTGTTAGTTTGTTATTAATAATTATTATATCTTTTAGTTTTCACCTCATATTATTGTATTGGACATTTGCACATTTACAGTCATAACGAATGGCAATTAAGTGAATTAACTAATCAAATATTTAAGTATAATATACTCTTATTATATTTATTGGAATTAATAATTAAGTTTTAAATCTATTTTTAAACTACCTATATTTAGAAAGTCAAGATACTCATCACAATTTATAGTTAAAATAAAATTGCGTACCTACAACTAATTTTCTAATAATATTTACCTACTATACTTCGAATCTACACAACCGTAGTGAACCTTGATTGAGGTTTTCTAATTATAAATGATCTAAAATCTAAACTTTTATAATATGTATACCTATACTCGTCCTACCCGTTATATTATTATTTTGAATAATACTTCATTAGACTTAAGAGGATGCTACACAGATATTTAGAAGTCCGTGTATAACAGCAAATTTACGCTCAGCAGATCACGTTTAACGATGTTCGTTTAAAAATAAAAGTGAATCAACCTATGATGAAATTTGATGTTAAGAACATTTTCTGTGTTTGAATGTGAGTTTTTCAGAATAAATCTTTTCTTATTAAAAATAATTTCTTATTAAACTATACATTTTTGATTTGTATACTTTGTTATACTTACAATATAAACTTATCTGTACGACTGTACATGGGCCCGTGGCATGTTTTCGTGGCCCACGACGGTTCTTTAAAATATTTATTTAAATGACTCCATTTTGAATGAGATGTGTCACTATTAGCTAAGTTAATAGTTATCCATATTTGTATTCAAAATTTCAAAAAATAGGTACGGTGCAATATTATAAGAAAGTAAATGTTAACAGTAACCCTTTGTCTTATAAGTAGTTATAACATTTCCGTCTATAATACCTATAGACATATAGTTATATAATATTTTCTGTGAATAATGAATATGCAATATAATAACTATTGTTATAAATTATTATTTACTAATTAATATATTTAATACTTATAAAATTGAATTTATTTTAAACCTATAACTTGGGAAAAAATTAACTTAACGTTAAAAAAAATATAAAATAAAATTAATACGTATCTTGAAAAAACTGCATGGATAGTGGTGACATCTCTCGTTGTAGTCTTGTAGATTCTGCTGGATTGTTTATCATAAATAGATATAAATTGAATGTGTCCATAAGGAAAGTTTTAAAAGTTTCCGATTTCTTATCATTAAAATTTATGTTAAAGTCACCAAATTGTTATAATTTATAAATTATAATAATTATAAATGCATAATATGCAAAACTAATTACGCTGTTTCAAATTCTATCGCTTTATACCCGTTTTCTATTGCCTAGTCTATACCAAACGAGACACACAAAAAAATGTAATCACGGCAAAGGTAAAGCACTAAATAGGGATATATGCAACAATCAGATTATTCTACGAAAACAATTTCATGAAATAAAAATGTCTAAGCGTCAGGCAAGGAGATTATAATATATTAATATGTATATGAGGTGTAACCAAAAGTTTATGCTTTGTAAGGACCGTGGTATAGATTTCAGTGTCTGGTTGTGATACGCGTGATATAAAGGCCGATTTCCACTATACACGCACGCGTTCACGTGCATACAAATTCTTTGCTGTGATTGGTTGATTATGTTAAGTTACCACACGATTAACCACGATAGCGTGTTTTTGGACATAGCTGAACATTTTTCATGTTCACGGCAAATGTGTATACCTAGTGGAAACCCGCCTTAAGGCCCCTTCACAGCTCACCATGAAACGTGAAACGTGATAATATATAATTTGTTCCCGTAAAAATATTCTAAACCACGACTGTCAACCATACGGTAAACACACGCTCTGAGTAGGATTGAACCCAACTATACGGTATAAGCGGTATAGATAAGGTATATTAAGGAAAAAAAATGATGGTTAACCATTAGATAACCACATGGTTCAACCAATCACAGTTCTAGAATATATCACGTTTCACGTTTCACGGGGAGCTGTGAAGGCGCCTTTAAGTGATATACGGAAAAAGGTCTTTTTCCAACGCTTCAACCGCGGTCAAAAACCAAACTTTCTTTGCAGGCGTGACAAAAAATATATTACCTACATACAAGTCAATACTTATATAAAATATAATAAACTTATTACATGTATTATATTTTATTATACTCGGACGGCGTAAACGCGTTTTTTCTATATCGTAGGTAGGCTGCGTCTACATTGGAGAGCGTTGGGCGGCGAGCGGCTGTCTATGTGCGGTGAGTGGTAAATGTGTACATATACCTACTAAACAATAAGCGACCAGAGTTGTCTATAATATAAATTCAGAGTTGGTGTATTTTTTTACTTGTGAAAAAAAACAAAAAAACTGTATTTTTCGTATAAATTTTTTTTTTTCTGTTAAAAACGATGTTTTGAACAAAATAAATTGTTTGAGTTTTAAATCGTTTAAAACGGTGTATTTAAAACAACTTAGGTTGTTTATTTAATATGTATTTTACTTATACGAAAATATATACCTATAATATACCTAATAAAAAAATATAGCTATTTAGATATCAACTATATTGTAATTTATAGTATATTTTGATAAATCCAAGTCTAGTGACAGTTATTAATATTTTATTGTTTGTTATTTTAATTTTTTTCTAGTTTAGACAAGTTGTTTTCTTTTAATTATTAATGCTAAATTTGAAAGTGTAGTTGACAGTTGTTTAATTGTAAGTGTTACATATTCTGTTTTTACTTAATTAATAAACAAAGTACTTTACATATTTCAATATTTGTACTTTACTTATGTCTGTGTAATGAATTTATGATATTATATGTGTTACTAAAATGAAGGACGATAAACGATAATAGATATCGTTAATAATAATATTTTTTTTTTCTGAAAGATATTTATTATTCTTTAGTTATAATAAACCAAAAAAAAATACATGAATTAAAAAAAAAACACAATATTCACTTGGATTTTACACTGTTTTAAACATATGTTTTATACCTGCAGTCACCAACATGGTACTGTGGTCAAAAGTTCGACGTTTTTTGCTAATTTAAAATTCATTTTTACGAAATCGTTTTCGAACAGAAAACGTAAACGAATAGAAAGTCACGAAATGAACAAAAATCGTAATACATTTTTAGAATTTCATCATATTTATAATGAATTAAGAAGAGATAGTGCAAGGTTTTTCAATTGTTTACGTATGTCAATGGATACTTTTGATTTAGTTTTGTCTAAAATAAATTTAAACTAACAAAATAAACGACAAATTTTAAAAAAGAAATGACTGCAACCGAGAGACTTATAGTAAGTTTAATGCATTACAAATTAATATTTTATATAATAATTTTTTTACAATGACTTTTCTTAAGCATAAAAATTAAAATAGCTGAAGTATAAAAAAAAATAACTAAATCAAATGTAAGAGAAACGTATTTTGATAACTTCAAAATATTATAGTTACATTAAAAATAAAAAACTTAATTTCATTATTTTATCTTTATTAAATTAATTGAAACTATTGGGAGTATAAGGATTTGAAATAGTTAAATCCTGTCCTGTGTTTTGTGGAAACTGGTGGTAAGTATTTTGTTCTGTCTGAAACGAAGTTGGTGGAATATACATCGTTCTTCTTTGTTTTTCCAGTTCTTTTTGTTTTAAGGTTTCAAGTACAACATTTTGAATATTTGAACGTAGTTGTAATTTTTCCATCACATCTAATTTTTCAAAATAAGGCAACAAACTCATGAAAAAGTGATAATCAGGATTATTTGTCATAGTTGATTCCCTTTGTCGCTCTTGTCTAATAAGATCTAACTGTTGTTGCATTATTTGCAAAAAAGGATCAAAGTCTATATTTTCAACAGGTCGCTTCTCACATTTATTTTTCTGATCGGTTGTTGAAAATTCATTTGATGAAACTGACCCAGGTGTTTCCTTAAGAAGTGCATCAGTACTATTTTCCTCATAATTTCCAATTTCTATTAACCCATCTTCAGAATCATTTATCTCAGAATGGGTGTCAGAAGTCATATGAGTAGGAAGTTTCCACTTATAACATTTGGAAGTAGGGTGTCTTTTACAAATAAAATTAATTCAAAAAATGGCCATTTTGACTTGTAACTACTGCCTTCTGCTCCAGAACATACAATAGGAATTTTTGAAGTTCTACTCTAGATTTATTCTTCAAATTCTTTCATTTGGTTTTCATAACTGTAAATAAATTAAATAAATAAATAATTTAAATTTATCGTAGCTTAAATTATTAATTTGAACTTATAAATTATAATTTCTATAAGAAATAACTGTGTTTATATATTTTTTAGATTTTTTGGTTACAGTATGCACTATTTATGAGAATCGTTGTTCAAAATATTCAATCCTTAGTTATGAAAGTTGAACATTTTATACATTTTTAAACACAAAATAATTTTAAATTTTGTCAAAATTTGAACTTTAAAGGCTTAAAAAAAAATTGTCCCTATATTTATATTCTTCAAATAATATTGTAACAATGTGTTAAGGGAGCCTCGTATTAAATTTTCAAACTTTTTGACCCAACAAATAAAATTGTATTGATTTTTATAGAAAAAAAACTAAGAAAATTGGAAACTGAAAATGTCCGTAAACATCTCAAAACTAAAATATTTTGAAAACTTTATCGCTCCGCTTAGAGTCTTAAATATTAAAACTATCATATACTTACTACCTAATCACCAGTACCTATGTAATGATAGCCACTCTTCATAAATATACTATTATAAAAAGAGTGTCATCATCATGACCCTAACATATACCTATATTATAATATTGTATAATGTATATATCTACAACCACACAGATTTTCATATTATTATAATACGTGGTCATATACTACTGTACCCTTTTTCTTTGTACAATAAACTGTATGTCTATTATTCAAAAGCGAATTACTTTTAAATTTTAATACATGACAATTTTACTGAATGTTTATATTTTCATTTTCTATACACCATAAAATTTTGAAAATATTTTTACCCTTTTTGGGCTGTTCACGGACATTTTCGGTTTTCAATTTTTTTAGTTTTTTTTTCTTTAAATATAAATAAAATTGTACCTATTTGTTTTGTAAAGATTTGAAAATGTAATCCTAATATATTTTTACAATAGCAGTTGAAAAATATTAAAAATATATAGGCATAATTTCTTTTTATAAGCATTTAAAGTTCAAATTTATCAAATTTAATGATTATTTTGTAGTTAAAAATTTATAAAATGTTCAACTTTTATAGCTATAATAATTGAAAATTTAAAACAAGGTTCCACGTAAATAGGTAAATATATAAATTACTCTATTCACAATAATTTTATCAAATATACTTAGTAATATCATAGGCTGACTAACCGTTTTCGCTCAGAATCGTTCTTATTATTACTAAACATTGATATTATATCATTCAATTCAAATATAACACCATCCAATACAGTGACTCACTTGTAACTTACTGCACAGCAGAGCAACATCCACTTACACACTTTTATTTAGTTTTTTTTTTCTATTATAAATTAATAACAATTTAATTTGTTAGGCCAAATATAGTAAAAATGTAATACAAGGCTCCTGATGCATATTTATGTTAAAAAATAAATATAGATAATATTGATATTAAAAATATTTATTGTATTATAATATATATTTATGATATTAAAAATGGATAAGCACAATTGTTTTTTATAAGCAAGTTCGAATCTATACAAAATGCAGTTAATTAATATTGGATAGTAGATAGTAGCATAGTACTATAATAGTATTGGTACATATAGGTAAGTATAAAATTAATATCAATACATTTATCTTTCCGCGCTGATTAGGTATATATAGATCAAACATTTAAAAAATATACATTTCATTATAAATTATCTATTTGTTTATTAGATATTTATCTACTGGTATTTCGTTTCGAAATTTGGCAGTTGAATCAAGAATGGGAGCTTCTACAGTTGCTAAAATTGTACACAAGACTTTTTGGGAAGAATTAGTTGATGACTTCCTGCCTGTTCCAAATTAAGATCAGTTTGTAAAAGCTGCAAATGATTTCTACAGGCGTTGTAAATGTCCTAGACGGAGACAACACGTTATGCGGGTGTGACGTCCTCTTAATAATTACTATACCTACATATTTCAAAATATAACAAATACGGAACAAATAAGACGTGAGTAACTCTGAACAATAAAAAAAAGGTGGTCAGTGGTATTTTAAGTGAAAGTGATTGGTACAAAAAATTTAGTTTTATTTTGATCACTATAACCAAAACAATAAATTCATAATCATTATAATATAAGCATGGTGGGCATAAAGTTTCATTTTTTTTTTTTAATCACAAGTCATAAAACTACAGATTTCCATTAGAATAATTTTCTTGTAAATCTCACCTTTAAAATGTCTGAAGGTACTATTCTGTACACTGTACATTCGTTGTATGTACCTATCTAATGAGAATTAAGTATACAGTACCTAGTAGCCTAGTACGTAGATAATATCATTTAAACCTTTTAAATCGTGAATGACTTCTTTGTGATTAGATTTGTATGGTAATAGTTTACTCTTAATTATTAGGTACTGAATTAATAGAATTATGTAGTAGGTACCAAAAGCATGCGAAATTGAAAATACCGAAATAAATACAATCTTTTGATTTATAAATAACTTATTTATGGCGAAAATATTTTATAATATTATGTTTTTGAGAATTGTACATTTGTGATTTATATCAATATCAATATTTGTATATCTATATCAATATAATAAGATAATTATATCATATTACTTATTCGTTATTACTTATTAGTATTGATTAATTATTATTATTGGAATATGCCCTTATGCCGTAGTATGATATGGTATATTATATATTTTATACCTATACATATCCGATACACCTATATAATATTATAATATAATAAACACCTTAATGGCTATTGCCATAATATGTATTTACTATTTCATTATGTTATTTTACTTGAAGAATTCTGGTAAATGGAACAAGAAATTAATTTAACTATATTTCTGATTTCCTATTCTAGTAAAAATGTAATATGCAACATCAATAATAATTTTTATTTTTATTATATTTATTATTTCATTAATCATTATTTATAAATTAACCCAGCTTGAATTTGATTAAAAGTAACTTGTTATTTATTAAGTTAATATCAATTAAAATAAGTCAAGTTAAATATTAAGTTAATGATTTTTTCAAAAATGGTTTTGCATAGGTAGGTATACTCGTTTTTCGTCGTTTTTTTTCCCTGTGCTTTTTAAATACTAATTTCTGTGAACAGTTTTTTCAACTATAAAATGTACCAAGATTCACTGTCCTACCAAAAAAGATGCTGAAAAAGAAAATCAAAGAATATTTATTTCCCTAAAAACAGCAAAAGGTGAAGCCAGACACACAAAACAAACAATATCTACACAAAATTGTAAAGTCAATGCATTCAACGCTTCGCTGAAAATCTAACATTATCAGATTGTTTTACTAAGTGAAATCAAAAATGAAAAAACCGTCCATATATAATATACAATAATATTATTAAAGAAATAAAAAAATATTAAAATTAATTTTATAAAAATGTTGACAGATTAAAATAAAATATAAATTGACTCATGTTCATACTATATACTTAGTGGCTAGCGCAGCCCAAATCGTAAAAAAAACACGCAGTTAACTATTATATTATTATCAAATAATTTTTAATCCAAGAACACCAGCCCAGAATTATAATATTATGATGATCGGCACACCGGGAACATTCTCGGTATCTCAGAGGCGACCGGTGCATGGCCCTGGCTACTCTTTTGGTTGGGCCCCTAACTTAAATTATAAATTCAGGTTTTTTGTTAAATCGCTTTCATATATTTAATTTATTTGTTGAGATTATAAATAAATTATACCATAGTTTTGCAGTAATTATTATTTAATGTTGATTGATATAAATAAAACGTATAATAATATAATACGTATAATACATGGGGGAACCTGATTATGTCGGTGCCTGGGGCTGCAGCCCCTCCCTAGCCCCCCCCTCCAAAAAAAAACTAGGGCTCTATAAAGGTACTTATACGTACTATTGATTGTTATTTATTAAATATTATACTCACATGATGAATGTCAGACCCTGTAAACGGCAGACAGTTATGTAGAACTACCCGACGACACGAGATTTGACTGGTCTGAAATCAATAATTACTTTATGACTGTCTGCGCTGTATGACTACAAGTGAGTAACAAATAATGACTGGGTAGCGATTGTGAGTTTCCTACGATAAATATTAGGTAGGCATCTACATTAAATTATCATATTATTTAAAGATCAGTGCACGAGGCGCAACAATGCGTGAGCCTAAATATATTCTTTATAATATTTCTATGATATATTATACTTTAACCGTCCATCTTCTATTATTATTATTCATATAATGCACGACAGTTAATTTTAGGGGAACGGATACTGTATAATATATAAAGTATAATATTTCTATATATTTTCAGTTACATACCTACACAATAACACATGCAGCTGCTATAATGGAAATCGAAAGTAGGTACTGTTTTGCATTTGAACAAAGCTAAAACGAAGATCTATAAGTATCATAAAAAAATCGTTTGTATATGCATTACAGGCAGGTATATAACAGCGTTTTTAAATTGATTTTTACTCCCATAAATATATTATATACCTACCTATTTACATGCGTCCATTCACTAGACGTATTTATCCGCATTTTCATTCTACTAATCCAATTCACTTGACAATTGATAACACATAGGTACATATTATAATTTATAGGTACCTACATAATATTATTTTTGTCGTGGCTGCCCGTATGTAATATATGGATATTATATTATGCACGCTCTATTATTGTCGTCCGAAAACTTACGGTTTTCAATAGATATAACTACGAGCGATTGACGGATAAAAGGTCGTACGACTTGCATTGTTAGAAGTTCAAATAATGCATTCATCCACTATATCTGCTCTATATAGC